CCGCACTCAGAGCACGTGTAGGGTTTCTCTCCTGTGTGGATTCTACGATGTATGATAAGGTGTGAGTGCTGACTAAAGCTTTTCCCGCACTCAGAGCACGTGTAGGGCGTCTCTCCTGTGTGGATTCTCTGATGTCTGATGAGGTGTGAGCTCCGATTGAAGCGTTTCCCGCACTCAAAGCATCCATAAGGTTTCTCACCTGTGTGGATTCTCCTATGTCGGATAACATGTGAGCTCCAATTGAAGTATTTCCCACACTCAGAGCATCCATAAGGTTTCTCACCCGTGTGGACTCTCCAATGTGTGATAAGGGAGGAACTCCGATTGAAGCTTTTCCCGCACTCAGAGCACATGAAAGGTCTCTCTCCACTGTGGATTTTCTGATGTGTGAGAAGGTCAGAGATCCCATTGAAGCTTTTCCCACACTCATGGCATGTGTAGCGCGTCTCTTCCAAGTTGATTTGGTCACGTGTTAAAAGGTCTGAGTGGCTACTGAAGTTTTCCTCTGGCCTGTGCTGAGTCTCACAGGCTTTTGCTTTTTCTGGGAGTGCACAACTCCCGGAAACATTCCCTTTGGATCTTCCTGGTAACATCCCATGTGGTTCTACTTGCTCAGCATCTTCCTGCTGGGGTTTCTCCTCCTGATTCTCACTCACCATCCCATCACCTGATGGGAGACAGAGAATCCAGATATAGGTCACTCCCTGCACCGGAGAGAACGGAAATCTCAGAGAGAGGAATGGAAAAAGGGATGAATAAGCCAGAATATGTGTGGGAGAGATCAAACCTAGCAAGAGCTGCTTTTCCCCAAACCCTTCCCCAAAGGAGAGAGGAAGGGATCAGTTTTGGGTCCACATCCTCACCACCACACTCAGGGGAAAGCGAGATCGGGGAGGGACCTGCTGCCAGTTGTCAGTCAGGATAGGTGGGAAGCCATGCGTGACATCCGCCTAATGATTCCATTCTGCTGGGAGGAATCCTGAACTTGGAGAGCTCACAGCATCTTTGTAGGGCATCCCTAACGTTTCCTGTATTCACGAACAGTTTTTGCATTGGTTTAACCAATTCCTCACCTGTGCAGGCAGCTCTCGGGAGCACTCCTTTCTCAGAGCCCTGGAGGTCTGCGACCCACGGCTCTTCCCCTCGTTCCAGCTGCGAGATCACATCAGGTTTGGAAATTGGAAACCCTACTCCAAGCAAAGAAAACAAGGGAGGTCAGTGGAATTTATGTGATACGTGTCACAAAGAATATTCCATAGTTTTAACTCCAGATCAATTTTAAGCAGTAACATGCCAAGGCCATCTTCCTTGACTCAAAGCGGCAGGAGAATTGTTATTATTGTAAATGATATTCATTACCTTAGTTTCTATGGGCCAACTAACAGTGGGGCCACATTATGCTAGGCAAAGTACAAACAGAGAATATTAGATGGCCCATGGCCTGAAGAATTTACAATCTAAACAGATAAGACAGAATGGTGGAAGAGATAGAACCCACTGTTAGAATAGAGATATTCAGGCCTGCCTGTAAAGCCTATACTTGAAGAACTTAGGTGTATTTTTATCACTTAGCTAGTTACAGAGGTATAAAAACAAAGAATCAAAATCACAGTCTGCCTGTGTACGGGCCTTGTCTCACTAGGATAGTCTGAGGCCTTGTTCTTTGACTAAGCAGCAGGGGCAGCCATAAGCTGGGAAGAGTACGGTCACATCCTAAACCAATCACACTGAAATAAGGTGGTATTGGGCTGTTAGGAAGATGATCCTGTCCGGATAGTGCCCATCACCAGCAGATAAAGAAACAGATCTTAAGAGGGTTAAAGAAAACTTAGTTTGATAGCATCCTGTCTGGCAAGAAATCACTTAATTATCAATGGTTGTGGTTGGGAAACCCTCATTTCTGTATGTTTTATCTTTATGGCCTCCACTTTTCTATTGTTAATGTGTCTGGTTCGTTAATTGTTTCTGTCTGCTGTATAATTAATTTTGCTAGGTGCAAGTTAATTAGGGTAGTGAGATATAATTGGTTAGAGAATTGTGTTACAATATATTGGGATTGGTTAAGATAAATTTCAGTAAAATGACTGGTTAAGGTATAGTTGAGAATAATACTGTATAAACTGGGGTTAAACAGGCGGGGGAAGGGAAAGGACAGTTACCTGTTTAATAACTGGCGTTCTTCGAGATGTGTTGCTCAGGTGTATTCCACAGTAGGTGTGCATGCTCGCCACGTGCACTGGTGTTGGAAGTTTTTCCCTTAGCATTATCCATACGGGGAAACGCTGCTGCGACCCCTAGAATGGCGCCTCTATACCGCCCTATAAGGGGAGCTGCGCACTCCCCCCACCCTCGGTTCCTTCTTGGCGGACAATTCCGACAGAGGGGAAGGAGGGCGGGATGTGGAATACACCTGAGCAACACATATCGAAGAATGCTAGTTATGGAACAGGTAACTGTCCTTTCTTCTTCAAGTGATTGCTCATGTGTATTCCACAGTAGGGGACTTCAAGCTATATCTGATGGAGGCGGGTAGGAGTTTAAGGGTTTCTGGGACGCAGTAACGCCCTACCAAATCCAGCGTCATCCCTCACTTGGGAGACAATCGCATAGCGTGAAGAAAATGTGTGGACAGAGGACCATGTGGCAGCCCTACAGCCCTACAGATGTCCTGGATTGGGACATGGGCTACATAGGCAGCCGATGAGACCTGAGCTCTCGTTGAGTGCACTCTGATGATTGGTGGTGGGGGAACCCTTGCCAGGTCATAGCACGTGCATATGAACGAGGTGATCCAGGCACTGGGTGGAAATTGGTTGCCCCCTCATACGCTCGGCCGAGGCAACGAACAGCTGCGAGGATTTCCAGAACAGCTTGGTCTGGTCCAGGTAGAAGGCCAGTGCCCTACACACATCAAGCGTGTGAAGGCGACGTTCCTCATTGGAGGAATGGGGCTTAGGACAGAGCACCGGGAGGAAAATGTCCTGTTCCATATGGAAGGTGGAGACCACCTTCGGGAGGAATGCGGGGTGTGTGCGAAGCTGGACCTTATCCTTGTGGAAGACTGTATATGGGGGTTCCGAGGTCAAGGCCCTGAGCTCCGAGACACATTGGGGTGACGTGATAGCTACAAGGAATGCTACCTTCCATGACAGGTGAGACCAGGAACACGTGGCCAAGGGTTCAAAGGGAGGTCCTGTGAGACGGGATAACACTAGGTTTAGGTCCTATTGCGGAATGGGGGACCTAGCATAAAGGAATGAACGGTCCAGGCCTCTTAGAAAGCGGGAGATCATAGTCTGAGAAAAGACCGATTGGCCCTGCACTGGTGGGTGGATGGCCGATATGGCTGCCAAATGTACCCTGACAGAGGCGGAAGCTAGCCCTTGGGTCCTAAGGGACAGGAGGTAATCAAGGATAAGCTGAAGCAGTGTGGACGATGGGGAGGTTCCCCGCTCTGCTGCCCACCTAGAGAATCTGGACCACTTTGCCAGGGACATCCGTCACGTGGACAGCTTTCTACTTTCCAGCAGGACTCGTTTGACGTCCTCTGAACACCTTCCCTCCTCTTCATCTTACCACTGAGCAACCACACGGTCAGGTGAAGCGCAGCTAGGTTGGGATGAAGGAGGCAGCCCCCTTCCTGGGAGAAGAGGTCCAGGCGAAGCGGTAGCCTCCGCAGGGGAGCCGCTAAGAGGTGCATGAGGGTCCCGTACCAGCGTCGTCGGGCCCAGTCCGGGGCTATGAAGATAACCCGCGTCCTGTCCGTTTTTACTTTTTGCAGGACCTTGCCAATCAGGGGGAAGGGTGGGAAGGCATAGAAAAGCTGGCCTGACCACTGCATGAAAAAGGCGTCCAAGATTGCCCCCTTCCCCACTCCTCCACTGGAGCAGAACTGGAGACAGCGCCGGTTCTGGTCGGTTGCAAAGAGATCGACCCGGGGAACTCCCCACTCTCGGAAGAGCTGGTGGGTGACCTCCGAATAGAGAGATCACTCATACTGGCGGGAGAAAACCCTCTGAGGCGATCGGCTCGCACATTGCGGATGCCGAGTAGGTGGAAGGCTCGCAGGGAGATATCGTGGGCTATACAGAATTCCCATAGGCTCAGGGGTTCCAGGCATAGGGCCAAGGAATGAGTCCCGCCTTGCCTGTTGATGTAATACATCGCAGCGGTGTTGTCCATAAGGACTCTGACTACCTTCCCGTGAAGGTGCATGCTGAAAGCTACACATGCCAACCGTATCACCCTGAGCTCTCTGGCATTTATGTGGAGGGACAAGTCCGAGGCGGACCATCTCCCTTGGGTTTGAATGTTCCCTATATGAGCTCCCCATCCCAGATGCGAGGCATCTGACACAGGTCTAATGATGGGGAGGGTTCCCAGAAAGGGACCCCTTGCAGCATGTTGCTCGGGAGGGACCACCATTATAGGGAGGCAACTACCTGGGGCGGTACCATGATAACCTTATCCAGCCCGTCCCGGGCCTGGGAGCACTGAGAGGCTAGCCAGAGCTGGAGGGGCCTCATTCTGAGCCTGGCATGGCGGACCACGTACATGCATGCTGCCATGTGCCCGAGGATCTGAAGCCATGCGCTTGCCATTGTCACAGGGAAGGCCGTGACCGAGGCAATGAGGCCTTTGAGGGTCTCAAACCTGCCCGGAAGGAGAGAGGCTGTGGCCCTTAAGGAGTCCAGCATCGCTTCTATGAATTCTATGAGCTGAACTGGGACTAACGTGGATTTGTTCTCGTTCACTACTAGGCCGGGATCTGCACATGTGGACAGGAGCAGTTCCACATGGGTCTGCATCTGGGACCGAGACCTGCCCTTGAGAAACCAATCGCCAGGTATGGGAAGATCTGCACCCCTTTCCGCCGGAGGTAGGCCGCTACCACTGCCATGCACTTGGTGAAAACCCTGGGTGCCGTGGATAGACCAAAAGGGAGGACCGTGAACTAGTAGTGATCCCGCCCCACCAGGAACCAGAGGAAGTGCTTGTGCCCTTCAAATATATGGATATGGGAATACACGTCCTGAAGGTCCACGGCTGTGTACCAATCCCCCAGGTCCAGGGAGGAAATAATAGAGGCTAGGGACACCATGCGGAACTTGGAGCTGACTATAAACCGGTTGAGATCCCATAGGTCCAGGATGGGCCTGAGCCCCCCTTTTGCCTTTGGGATCAGGAAGTACCGGGAGTAGAAGTCTCTTCCCTGGGAGTCAACTGGTACTCTTTCCACCACCGCCAGGTGGAGCAGATGTGCCACCTCCTGCCCTAGGAGGCGAGCATGCTCTGGGTCCCCAGGACTCACCAGGGACGTGAGGTGGTAAGGTGGGGGTGAAGTGAACTGCAACATGTAGCCCTTGGAAATGGTGTTGAGGACCCATTGGTCCGACGTCATAGGGGACCACTCCACTCGGAAGGCAGACAATCGGTTGCAGAACACAAACTTTATTAATGGGGGGGGTTCCCTGGCAACAGGCCTGGTGCCCCCCTGCAAATAGTCAAAACCATCTATTTCCCTGCCTCTTGCAGTTAGAGGTCCCGGGCTGCGGGGCAGAGCGGGACGGACGTTGAGACTGACGCCTCTGGTCTCTCGACCTATTGGATGGGGGCTCATATCTGCTCCATGCAGGTGGAGTCAAAGTTTGCGACCTGGGCTTGTCCTTAGCCAGCTGGACGTAGAGGCCCAAGGTTTGCAGGGTGGTACGGGAATCCTTCATCCTGTGCAGACGGACCTCCGTTTGGTCTGCAAACAGCGCTTTCCCATCAAAGGGCAGGTCCTGCATGAGGGACTGGGCCTCCGCTGACAGCCCGGATAGGAGGAGCCACGATGCCCTGCGCATGGAAATGGCGGAAGCCATCGAGCGGGCTGCCATATCGGCCGCGTCCGATGCCGCCTGGAGGGTTGCTTTTGCCGCTGACGCCCCTTCCACTACCAGAGCCTTGAAGTCCTTTTTATCCCGCTCCGGGAGGAGAGGTTCAAATTTTGGTAGGGACCGCCTTAAGTTAAATTCATAGCAGCTCAGTAGGGCCTGATGATTGGCCACCCTGAGCTGGAAACTTGCTGAAGAATAAACTTTGGGGGTAGGCATGGGCTGGCATGTCGTTCTCGGTGGTTTACAGATTCCACCACCAGAGAGTTAGGTGCCGGGTGGGAATAAAGGTACTCATGGTCCTTAGCTGG